TTTTTTATTATTGGTAGGTGAGATGTTTCTTGACTTTATAGTCACTAGAAGTCAAGGTTTTGTTTGAAGAGAAGTATTACAAGGAGGAAAAAGTGAGTTTGTGATGTCTCTTGAAGTTTCCTTCAAGTTAGTTTAAGGAAAGTGATAAGACTTTATTAGTAAGAGATATAAAAACTTCACGCGAACATCTTTTTAGTAAGTGGTCAAAGGATTAGTAAAAAGAGTTTTGAAATTTTTAAATAAATAATTATTAAATTTTTAATAAATAGTTAATGAGCTTTTAATAAATAATTTAATAAATTTTTAAGAAATAGGTTTAATTAATAGTTGCTGAATTTTTTAATGAATAGTTGATGAATTTTTGATAAATTTTTTGTGAATTATTAATAAATTAATGTTACATTTTTATTTAATTGTTAATAAATAATTTTGTAATGAATTTATAATAAATTATTGCTAAATTGTTAATGTATTATTTAATAAATTGTTAATAAATTTTTTGACAAATTGTTAATATATCAATTTTTTTTATTGTCAAATTTTTGATTGCTGAATTTTTGATTGTCAAATTTTTGATTACCAAATTTTTAATTGCCACTTTATTGCTGAAATAGTAATATGCTGAGTGATAGCAATCAAAAAGAATTCAACAATATTTTTATTATTAAATTTATCAAATTCAGCAATAATTCAGCAACAAATATTAAAAGCAAAGGCAAAAAATAATTATCAAAAGATAATAATATAATAGAACAAGATTATAATTAAGATATAATAATATTTTCATAAAAGAAATAATAAATCTTTTTTGTAAAAAAAATAAAAAAGAAAATAATAATGAAATTTCTAAAAAGGTAGAGAAAATAAGTATATATAATATTAGAGGTATTATAGACAAGACAAATCAAAAAAGTCTTATTGAAAAGATATTAAAACAAGAAATATGTATATTAAGACTATGTAAAACAAAACTTATTTATATTAATACATAATATATTTTTAATAATCAAAAAGTCTATAAACATTTTTATAGTATTAATAATAATATATCTTTTGAAGTAAGAGTCAATTTTCTAATTAAAAAAAATTTAAAAAAAATAGAATTAGTAAAGAAGGATAAAAGATATATAATTGCAACTAATCTAATATATAAAAAAATTTTGTATAATACAGATTTATATTTTCTTAAATAAACAAAGGTATAAGAAAGTACAAAAAAATTAACTAGCCTTATTAAAAAAAAATATGAATAAGGATCTTATACAATTGTGATAAAAAACTTTAACATAATATATAATCCATAAGAAGATAAATAATCATTATTTAAAGTTAAGTTTAAATTATTATAGTATTTAAAAATTTCTTATTTAATTTTTTAGATAAATAGGAATTTATTGATATGAAAATTATATAAAAAAAGCAAAAAAAAGATATCAATAAGATAGAACCTAACAAGTAATAATAAAATAAATTACATTTGAATATAATATAGTCTAATAGGCTGCTCTTTACATTGATTTAATAATTAAGATATGAAAAACATTATAAAAAGTAATCACATTATACTCTTAATTACATTATATAACAAAATTTTTTTCAATCAACAAAACCCCTACTAATGGACAAAAATAAATCAATATAAAAAGAATATCTTCAATATAAAGACAAGTCTTTCAAGAAGTCTAGACTATAAATTCAAAACAATATTAGAACTTTTGCTTCAAAAGGAATTTAAGTTAAAAAAAAAAGAAGTCAGATAGATAAATTCTAAAAAATATTTGAAAAACCAATTTGTAAAGCAATCTTTAATTAACTTATAATTAGAAAATTAGTTTTATATAAAGAAATGGGATATAAATAAAATTTAAAATTTGTTAAATATAGAAAAATCTTGTAACTTAAAGACTTTTCAATAAAGTAGAAATATAAAAATATATAATCAAACTATAGATACTCAATTTTATTATAAAAAAACATAATATTATTACAAGCCTAACCATTAAATTGAAAATCTTTATATTCAATACAATATCTTTAATATATTCCAAAGATCTTTAAAAAAAGATACATTCAAATCTCTAAATACAATATCTTAGGATCAAGGACTATATTGTATTTATAGAGATTTTCCTTATTAAGAAAGATTTTTTGATTGAACAAATTTTTTTTTTATTATATAGTATATAATTTTAACGAAAGTTACTTAAAAAATTTGACTCTCAAAATCCTAATTATTAATTAAGAATTATATAATAAAGTTTTATTTTATCAAATTTATCTATTTTTCATAAATGAATTTCTTCAAATTATTAGTAGCTTTTAAATAACTGCTGGTTTTATCTTATTAAATTAGAAATATTTTTATGTTTTCTAAACTTTTTAATGTCTCATTAGTACTCACTATTAAGATTTTATTATTATTATTCATCTTATTATCATGTTTTTTACTAAACAAAGAAATAATATAATTACTTTAAGAAAACTCAAAAATAATATCTTTCTATAGAAAAGACAAATACTTGTTTTTTATCATTGCTTCAAATAAACTTAACCTCATAATGGATTCAAACCATTAAGTAAATAATTTGTTATTTAATGCCTAAGTTTCATCTCCACTGAAAATATTATTAGAAAGAATCTTGGTAGCTTTCTAGCAATTAGAAATAATGTCAGTTATAACATCATCTCAAGCTTGAATAATATATTATATTGCTAATAAAATACTTATTTTTAAATTTTTGATATCTTCTCCACTCTCGATTTATTCTAATATTCACTGAATATAATATCAACAGTAATACTTTTTAAATAATATAATAATATTAGTATTTATTAGTTGGATTTTTGCTATTGTGTTTAATGGTAAAAAATATATTTCAACATTTGAGAGACTTACTTCTTCAGCAATATAACTTGAACAGTTGTTTTAAATAAGTAAAACAGGTTGATCTCTATATAATTTGAAAATTTCAATATCAAAATTACTCAAGTATTCTTAAAACAAGATTGTTAATATTTAAGCACTGTTATTAATATGATAAGACATCCTTAAATTGTTGAAATTTATATTCTTAAAGCACTACAGTTTTACATATTTACTAATTATCAAAGGATTTAACTTGTGTGAACTATCAGCATTTATACATAAAGCTATAGATAGATGTTTTTTATTTTTTTTTTATTCTGAGAGATATATAATCACTAGCAATTTATTAGATTTCAATTAATAAAACAGATCAGTTTATCCATATTATAAATCCTGTCTAACAAAAATTTTAATAATTTTTTATACAATGATGGAAGATTTTTGATAATATATTCTAATCACTTGAATCTATTTTACCATAAAGTTTTTGTAATTGTATTTTGGTTCATTCTTTAAATTTCTAAAGTTAATTAAAAAAAATTGTAATTTATTCTTGGGAATTTGTAATCTTTTAGCAAATAATTTAGCTTTTGCTATAATAATTGCATTACTCAAAATGATACAATATTTGTAAATTAGTATAAACTCTATAAGTGTATACTTAAGTTCAGAAAATTTGCCTGATTTATACTGTTTTTAATTAGAGTTAATAATATTCTTATTTAAACATTTAAACTGTCTTTTAAAATTCAGGAAACTATGATTTATGAACTATAATATTCTATTTAGTTTTAATTCAATTGATATATACTTCAAGGACTACTTTATTATTATGGGTATATTAATAAAGTTTAAATTTTTGTTTATCAGTTAAAATAGTTTTATTGGATTGATTGTATGACATTTTTAATTTATTTTTTGCCTTCTCTTCAAATTCCATCATCTTTATATTCTTTGATAAAGAATAATAACAAAATTATTGTAATATATAATAAATATAAAATACTAATTATTTTGTATTTATGTAATTTTTTTTGTTATACAGATTATTATGTTTTTTTTATTTAAATAATTTAATTGATTTTATTAATTTTACTATATACTTGTCACTCTTATTCCCTTTCTATCTGATCTTTAAATTATTGATTTATAATCAACATAAAGAAATTATCATTAGTTATTACCTTGGACATTCATATTATGCTATTACCAAAGTTGTCAGATGTCATCATTCTTCAGTTATGATGTTTTTTCTTCTCTATAAAAATATTAATTATGTTTCTATAAAAAAAAAAACTTCCAACAAATAGCAATCCAGTTGATCACTTACTATTGATTAGCATAGTCTACCAAAGACATATTAAACAATTTATTATTACAAAGCATCACTATTTCCTTTTTATCAATAAACTTTATATAGAATAGAAAGAAAAAGAAGATTACCAGTTGTATACTAGGACTATAATCCATGCGATTCCATTATTTTATCATGGTTTTCTTATCAAATTAGATTTTTTCAGCAAGACAATGATTGGGTATTCACTGCACAAGTAGCACAAGATGAATTTATCAAAGAAAATATCAATATATTTGTCTAGCCTGCTAGAAGCCTTGATTTGAATCCTATTGAAAACCTCTAAATTATGATTGAAAATAATTTACAAAGAGGTTGACTGTTTTGTATTAATCTTGTATAATTATAAAAAATGATACATAACAAATAAAAAACAATTCCTTTAAATTTTTCATGCCATCTAGTTAATAGCTTGTCCATCCTATTAATACTATAATTGAAGCAAAAGGTGGTGTAGCTAAATATTGAAAAATAATTACTAAATTGTAATGATATAAATAAAAAAAAAATTAAATAAAGTTTCACAATAATTTTGTTACTCCCTATAATATTTACATTAAACAATTGAAACTAATGAAAAAGTTTCAATACTAATGTAAAATAAAACAAACAGTTTCTAATCCAAACATTTAAAGAGTCTTTTCTTTGCATAATTAAAACCATAATAATAATAATCAATTAATATTTTTTTATTCCAAAATTATTATAAACAAGATAAAGACAAATACTTAAAAAGAAAGTAGCAATTCTTCACATATAAAACTCAATCTGCAATAAATAATGCTGAATAGTAATGTTGATATTAATAATGTATGTGAAACAAATCACTTTGTGTTAATTCTTTTATATTATATGAATCACATTAATTGTACTTAAGAAAATAAATCTATTAGAATAGGATTCGCAAATCTATTGCATTGCAGAAAAGGGAAGGTTGCATTTATTTACTAAGTTCTAAACTTAGGATCAAACAAAATGTTGTATTTGAAAGGCATAACACTAAATAGTAACTATATCCTTAAAAGAGAAATAGAAGAAATATATATAATACTATACCTTAATACAAGAAAGTCCACTAGAAGAACATAAGATCTAAAAATCTCCAACCCCAAGTCAGCACTTGAAAAAAGTATTAAAGAAGTGATTTACAATCAAAGCTCTTTAAAGATTCAAAATAATAGAGTAAATCATATGGATATCGAAGCCTGGAAAGAAGCTATTATCAAAGAATATATTAAAGAAAGAGCATATCAAGATCACTTAATAGATATACCCCAACATAATCTTGGATTTAAAAAAAAACCAATCTTCTATTCTGACGGATCACTTACTAATCATGGAAAAGAAGATATGAAGATGGGAATAGCTTGGATCCAATCAGGAAAAGAAGAAAAAGAAAACAAGTTCCAAATAGAAGTAAACAATTGATCCTTGTCTACAAGAGTAGAATTGATAGCAATTATAACAATACTCCTGATAATCCCAATTAAAAGCATGGTGGAGATCTTTACAAATAGTCAAACATGTATTTCCAAGTAGAAATCCTTAGAAAAAGAAGACCCGAAAAGGACACACAAGGAATGACTCAAAGAAAAAAATTAGTTACTATGGATATGAATGATAGAGCTAATAAAAAAGAAAAATATAGATCTAAAGCTCACAAAAGTCAAGGCACATTCAAATGATCCTTATAATAAAAAAGCAGATGCCTTAGCTAAGAAAGCCCTAAAATTTTCATCAATTGAATGAAAAGATCTCACTTCACACAAAATTATAATTGAAATTAAATGGCAAGGAATAACTCTAGATAATCCAATTAGGCAGTTTCTTAAGAATATTAATAATAAGACAACAGTCTATCAGTAGACATAACAAAACAGAACAGAGAAAAAATGGAGTCATCAGATTTCAAAACACTAAGCTCATACATGGGACCTAGTATTGGAAAGGGTTAAGGATGGATGGATACATATGGGATATATCTTTTAAACAATCCCAACAAAGAAGCTTTCTTATTAAACTGGCCAATAATGAGCTACTCACCTTAAGTAAGTTGGTTGTAAGAAAACTGGATCTATACAAACAAGTGAAATGCATCACATATAGTCAACAAGATGAAATCATAGAATACTTGTTTGAATGTTTAGCCTATAAAGATCAGCTACAAGAGGTATGGAACAAAGAAGTAAATGAAATCATTAGAAACTTTAAAAAGCTATTATGGAAAAAAAAGAGAGAGGCCGAAGAAAAAAATTCTAGGCTAAGTATTGATGACCATGAAGAAATAGAAGAGTTTGACAAATGGATTGCTAAAGTAGTGAAACAGACTTCTGGAACAAATCAGAATATACTAAGTTTCTGTACTGATCTTATAAGAACCAACCTTATTCTAGAAGTGGCAAATCTAAAATGTTATGGTAAATGTATAAAAAGAACAGCAAGAAAGTAGATATTAAAAATGCAAAAAAGAGTTTACAACCAAATCTAAAAAGAAGTCTGAAACAAGAGATGCGAAAAGATAATTAAATGGGAATGAATATAGAAAATTAGTAAAAAAGACAAAACAAAAAGACCTCCTTGTCTATAAGGTCAGAAAACTACACTTCCTAAGAAAAAAAACTCACTACCTGAAAAAAAAAACCTTGAATATTAAAGCCTTCGAGAAAATTTAACAAGAAGAGTAGAGTATGAAATAAAATGGTTAGGTTTTAAGCTTTGTCAGAACCTCACAAAGTGATCTGCAGTAGTGACCTGCAGACAATAAAGTTAACAGTTGGAAGGATCTTTACCTGAACTGCTAACGGAGTGATAAATCACTTCCAAAGTTACACTTAGAGTTTTAATAATTCTTAAAACAAAGACGAGTGAGTTAGGTAGAAACTTGGCTTTAGCAATACATCTTTAATGTAAAGTATACACATGTTTAATAAAGTATACAGTATATACTTAGCCTGACAGAAGGTTTAAAAAAAAATTTTTATTTTCTATATTTTTTTTACTGTTTTATAATAAAGTTAACAATATCTGAAATCTTTATACTTTTGCTTTTTTACTACTCTTTAACTTTTTTTAAAAATAATGTTAACCTTAATTAATAGTTATATTTTCTTTGATTCTTATTTATAGTTTTTATCTATCATATGAATTTGATTCTATTTTTAGATCATGTAATACATGTGATGCAAGGTGTGTCTCATTGGTTCATAGAGTAGATCCAATCATTAGAACAAAATAGTAATTTATATAGCATATATTATTTAATTTTTTTATTATCATATCTTATCCATATTTAGTTATAGCTTTTTGGAAAATTTTGTCTACCCCAGTTTGACCCTGAAATTTTGGATAGCATAAATCATACCAATTCTGATTGGCTGATATGAAACACATTAGATAAAATTGATAAACAAGCTCCTATTGGTTACCTTACATGTCTAAATGTATTTCTTCAACTTTATAAGAACCTGAGGTCTATCATAAGTCATATGGTTTGATGCAAGTGGATATAGAACATATTACTGACATATCATTGAATACAAAAAAGAGTCTGAACAACTATTATAAAGGTTATAAAAGCTTAATTTACCTTTTTTCAAGTCAGAGTTATTTATATTCTAATTGTATATCAGGTAGATCTCAACCTCTACTACTCAGAAAGTCTAAATCGAAGAAAGCATGTAGCTATCAAGAACACTTAGTAGTAAAGTTTGTGCACAAAGCAACCCAAAAAGTTTTTGTTCTATCTTCAAAAAATCCCAAGTTGGAAGACTGGAAGACTAATGCTGCACATCAATTGAAACTCGAGTCCAAAAATATCAGCAGTGATGTGTGAGCCAGCCAAATAATCTGGAAGATCCTTATTGATTGTTAACACCAATAGCCATCAGCAGGATATCTCTATCACGGGGTTAGATACTGTCCTTCCTATAAGAAATTAAATCTGAAATAAGATGCTCAAATAGATAAGTATATTCATATTTAGATAGAAATGAGTTTAATTAATGATATATTAGAAAACTCTTAAGTTAATCATGTAGATATCAATATATCACTTGAGCCTTTCTGGTTACTCTCTCTTCACAAGCCTTAAAACTGTAAAGTCTTCTTAGATGACCTCTATCTTATCTCTGTAAAGACTTAATAGAAAGTATTTTTTTCTAGATTTCTTCACAAGGGGACTAAAACAAGACAGGCATGTATCAAGAAATAGGACTAGTACACTGCATATGACTGTCTAATTTTCAATTTTATTTTTTTTTTATTTTTATTTTATGATACTGGTATACTCTAGGAATACTAGTTTTTCTTTAGTAAAAGAAAGGGCAATAGGTCTCAAAGTAGCTTTAGTAATAGTTTTAGCTTATTATTATCTTTATCAATCCCAAATATATACCCATATACCTGTGCTTTGTACAATGTATATACACTACTTGGACAAAAGTATCGCATGTCATTTATTTATTAATTACACAAAATTTTACATAATAATTCTATT